GAGTCACACTATCATAATTATATTGTGCGTATCAGGAATGAAAAAATGGGTATCGGCCCCTTGTTTGTGTATCGGGCAGAAATAATTGCGTATCGCGCCCGATACGCAAGTTTGTACGTGGGGAGAACCCTGCCATATATGGATGCCACTTGACACCCCACGCACAAACCCTATGAGACTAGTCCGAAAAATTTTAAGTGTTTTCTGAGAAAAACACTTGGTATTTTCCCTTCTAAATTGAACTTTTCTTGACATGTTTTTGCTTTCTGATGGCTAACAGGCCACTGCATGGAATCATTACTGGCGTTTGTATATGGAACTCTTTCCAAAAACAGATTAAAAAAACAAACAAAACAAAACAAAACAAAAACAGCATTCAGCAAGTTATCGAAAACAAAAGGGGAACTTTCCACTTCAACATGATTTTTTACAATCCTAAATTACCTTCAATGAGATTATCTAATTATGTAGGACGACAAAATGCGTCAGCATGCAATATTCTCTTAATTTTTGTTGATTAGGTAATGGAATAAACATTAGTTTTAAAAAGGTAGGTCATGCCAGTTCAGTGCACAGCCAAGGGCTAAGTCTAGTCATTGTCAGTGGACATCGGAGTGCTAGTGAGGCGCCGCTGTATGGAGGAACGTCATGATAGTCCAAATGCTGACATATTTTTTAGCAAAAATACATTTGAAAACGATCTTCTTTAACGTAAGTAAATAGACACTGGCTTCCTCAGTCGCAAATGAATTCATGATGGAGTAAACCTTGAAAGCATCATTATTTGCAGGAAACCGCTGGATTTCACACGGTAAATATAGTCCTACCCACCTACCTTAGCAAAGGAGCCGGCTGAAAATTTTCTACAATCGATTCATTATCACCAGAATAAATTACATTACGTCATTGCTCAGACATCATATGACAGCCTGGTCTCCAAAAACGGCGATTGTACTGATTAGGCAGAAATACGGCAAGATACTAGTTCGGCCGTCATACGCATCACGTGAAAACGACCTGCCCCCAATGCATTTGAAGAGTGCAGTTGGTGACAACAGTGATGAAAATCTCCCTGGTGGTATGGTGGCAGAGGTCCAAATCGAGTTGCATGGGGTGGTGGGGAGACATGGGGCATCATGTGCATATTACGCAATACAATGCTCTTTTGTCCTTCACCAATTTCTAGGTGGGTGAGGCAAGAGGCGTCGATGGGGAGGGGGTCAGCTATTGAGCATTAAAATGGAAATAAGTTCATTTAACTTTTTTGGCGTTATCCCCATTTCCACTTTCGGGAATTTTTGAGTTTGCTTTTCTTTAATTTATTTTTTTGTAATAATACTTGTGGAAATGGTGAATAAATCAAATCAAAAATGGAAGGCAGCAACAGTGCCGCCCAACGCCTCTTGCTCATTAGATGATGAAACATTTATTTCAATGCTGTCAGTCTTTACAATGTAACCAAACATGTTCACATTACTTAAGTACTGAATATATCTGGCCATTAAATTGAGTAATATTACATTAGGTTGAAGGTCAAGCAGGACCACTTTTGTGCCCCAACCTATAGACAAACGACAACCATACACAACCATACAAAACATAGGACACACAAATGAAGAACACGACAAAACAAACAAGTGTGAAACAACGCCGCAATAAAAGATCGTAAATTAACCCTTCAATCTTTAAGTTAAAATCAATGTGTATCAGTACCTCTTGGCTCTTTGTTCTACATTTTCCCTCATCCACCTTTACACCACAGCCAGATCTATCATTGCCTTTCTAGCTCAGTAAAAAAGGAAAACTACAATAAGGGGGGAGGCACTGTAGGAGGAGCTAATTCTTATACAATGGCCCCGCCCACTAGCGGCAAAACCTTTAAAAACTGATTTTTTGGGGGGGTTAATGAATTGTACTTTCAAAAGTCCTTCGTCATACTTTTATCTGAAATTTCAGGCACGTTCAAAAGAGGATCTCCCCATCTGATCGTTGCGGATCTCCCAGGCTCCACTTTGCAACATTCATCATAAATTATTCATGAAGGCTTAATGGCATTTTAAATTAGAGGGAACGACTAAAGCGACTGAAACTTTTGTTGTCATGACTACCATTTTGCTCACCGGTAACAAAATTACAGAACAGAACAAAATAACTCTTCTGACAATTCAAACTAGGGCCTAATTCTTGTGTAAACTTGTACAGTCCCATTCTCTGTAGGCCGATGCTAGATTTCTTTCCATTTTTTAAAGGTTCTGAGAGTATCAAAGTTTGGACTGAGAGGGGATACTTCATTAGTTTTGGTGGCTTCTTTAGTTATTCAAAATGCTTTCTGAATGGGAACAGCGCACGCCCATCAGAGGGCAGATCCACTCTAATTTTGATAGTCGATTTGCTTCTCTGTTACATCAACTACTTGGTAAAAATCGATTCAAAGTTGTAATATGACTCAGTGCTTAATACGCAGTTTGGGACAGGAATGCCGGACTCGCACTGAAATGGTTTAAAACAGGAAAACGTGAAAAAAAAAACACTTCTGGACTATTGAAGACATTTTCAACGCTTTGTTCAGGAGGTGAGGGGTTTCTAAACTAATTTTGGTGTTTGTGACTCATTCCGAATGGAACTTTAGGAAACAGGATCTTTGCACGTCCTGTCATCAGTACGATAGTGTAATAAATAAGTAGCGATTTATGATGGCCTAACCATGGCCTAACTGAAGGCCTAAACTCATGAACTCAAAAATTCTCGGTCGCGGTCGCTATTTTTTCCGGATAGGTGGACGCGGTTTGGCTGTCACAACTGTGAAGCCGAGTTTAATGGAGACTCACTCTCGATTAATCATGTTACGCCCCAACTATACATGTATTGTAGCATAAGTCCCAGCTATAGTATAGTGCTGCAGTTGGGCTGGCCCAACTTTTGTTGACTCACGTCTGTGGGAAATGTCTCAACATTATCCAAGTCAATGTGTCTCAAACTTGACAAAATTCATCTAAAATGTGGTACCTCATCTGTTCATTTAGCCCTATGACTGATGACATGACATTTGTAAACGATATGACGTGATGTGCACATGCTGGGCACATCATGCAGACAGACATTGCTGTAGTTAGGCCGGCCCAATTGTGGCACTCTAGTTGGGACAGCCCAACTATAGTTGGGACTGATGCTATAGTTGGGGCATAACAATCATGATTACTATTAGGCCTACCTCAGTACCTGTTTCAGACTCTTTGCTTGAATCTTAATGGAAATAGGGCCTACAAGAAATTGGGCGTAGGCTTAGGCCTATATTATTCATGAAAATATTTTTTAAATTGCACTTTTGTTGGCCTAGGCCTAACGTTAGTTGAAAAATTTCATTTTGTCGTCGTAAGTTTGCTGTTTAAGCATTCCTTCCTCCACGGTTTGAGTAACACCACTGCCTATGAAAAGTCATGACTTCAGGTACCTTGAGTTTTGCAGATTTTCAGATGTCTTGAGACGTGTGAGAATTTGGCCTGAATTTTAATACTTAAGTTGGAGACTAGAGTAGTCCTAATTATGAAAAAAAAATACAAGTCAGCATGTTCAGGGTGACAGTGTTCTCTACTGAAATTCATACAAGTGCACAAATATTTGGATACATTTCTGATTCCAGAAATGTGTCAGATCAACTTATTGAAGAGAAATGAATACACCACCGAGTTAAAGCTTCAGTTGATGTGCTCTGCCTGCCCGCAATTTGTTTGGGAGGCTAATTTTTTTTTTAAATTTCTTGATCAGTGGATTTGCTATTATAATGATCCTGGTTTGATTCCTTGACCAGTGGACTGACTGAGTTTTGCTTATTCCATAAGTTCAAACTTGATGAAGTGCTTTTCTGATTTTCTGTTGCTTTAGAAAGTTTCTAACAATTCCACGTCTACGTGCGATTGAAAGTTTGTTCTCGTGGGAAATTATAGTATTTAAGCAACAACAGTTAAACCTAAATCCAGCTCTCTTCCTTGTTTTATCATGCAAAATTTCCTGCATAATTTTCATATTAGAAAAAAACAAAGTTTCTGTTTCAGAAACACTGTTTTTCTCTTGTCGGTTATAAGAGGTAGCTGTAAGGATAAGCCCCTTTAAACCATTCAGGGTGGGCAATGTGTTTTGGGAGCCAGACATTTGGGAAATTTTGTAGTGTTTTTCGGCCTTTCTGAGAGTTGATTCTACAATTTGGTTTTTAATAAATGGTGTTGGAAGGAAGTAAAGGAAATAACCCCCCTCCCCCTACTTTGTCATCATTTTGTTTCAACAAACGTTGTTTTTTGGCCCGGTGAGAGGGGGAGAGTCCAAGGAACAAAAAGAACCCCCCCTTCCCCATCAGCCCTTGGCTAGCTTTTCAAGTTTGTTCGGTCAGAAATCATGTTAACTACTCGGGAAAAGTTCCTTATTTATTGTCATGATCCTAATGCCTGTACTCTCAACGTTGATCTTCAGAGGTGTCAAGATGGGACAGCTCTTTCGCAGTGAGAAGATGGTCCTCAGCCAGGTCTTCCTCCAGACAGAGGCGGCCTACAACTGCGTGGCTGAGCTGGGGGAGCTTGGGCTGGTCCAGTTCATTGACGTGAGTGTGGTCATGCGGCCAAGTACCAGTTGCGAGCTATACACATATAACACTATATTTGGACTGGTCACTCTGTTCTTGCTGAGCCAGAGATACGTCTGCGCTTCGCTTATTTTTGTGCCTGGTTCACGACACTGGCCGCTGGAGCGGAGTTTGGAACTTGGCAGCACTTTGAGAAGTACCCTTGTTTAACTTGGTCTTGCACGTTGTTCTGTTACAGTTGAGTCCTCACCTGAATGCTTTTCAGCGGAAATATGTAAATGAGGTCCGCCGCTGCGATGAAATGGAAAGGAAACTGCGTAAGTGAATGAGAAAATACTTGTAATGTACACGTCCTCAATTCCCCTTCCTGGAACTCTGTGGTTTTATTTCCTCGTTCACTTTTGTATAATTTGGTTAGTCGTAAATGCAGAATCATTGTTTGAACTGCATGGAATTCTAAATCTGCTGAGTTGAATTTCAGCATTTCTGGTATTTCATCCACAGGTTATGTGGAGAAGGAGGTCAAAGCCGCAAAACTTAACGTCACCGACCCTGGCACGGAGGTCCCTGCCCCGCCCCCAAGAGAGATGATCGATATGGAGGTAAAAGGGAACTCGTTTTGGCCGTGTCCTCTGACTGCCGAAAAATAAATGCCCAGACAAAGACTGGTTTTAGTGGTGAAGACATCTGTATTTGCAAGCTGGTTTTGGGGGTGCAACTCCCGTCTGGGGCACTGAAATCTGTTTGAGAGGGCTGTGCTAATCCACAAACTTCTATGGGATTGTTCTCTTGTTAACCCTCCTTTGGTTTTACTGCACAAATGTGCACAAA